ACTCCTTACTGTATAATGATGCGACTTAAATTGTTTTAGTGGGAGACTTTGGAGTTAAGTTTGGAGATTCCCTTCTGAGGGCCCATGAAGGCATTTCTTATGAGAATTTTTCACTTCAAATGGCTTTATTATAGGAAACGATTCTGACAGCACTTCCATATTCTCATGAAATCAAGGAACAGGTTTGGATTGATATTATAGGATTCAAACAAAACTCTGACGGCTCTTCAAAATTAAACTGGACTGCTTTAGATTCAGAAACATGCAGTGATTAAAATATTCAATTCTCTATCTTAACTGATCTTACCAGTCATGCTCAAAGAAGAAAATACTAACTTCGTAAATTGGACTGGCTCCTGTTAAAACAAAGATTATACAACTTTCTCGATGAGAAAGATACTTCTCAAATTCAAAGTATTGTAGAACTAAATAGACTTATTAAAAATTGGATAATGGAAATACATATAATCTGTGATCAAGTGTCATCTCAGAAAAATGTCAAGCTGAATATGCTTTATGAGGGCATTTCTTGGTAGACAAAACAATCGACTGTCTTCAGAAATAAAATAAAGGATGAAAGAAACGTATTCCAAGAATGAACAAGGGACGAAGATCTAAGTTTTCATTATAAGCAGATCTATAACAGGGACCTAATTAAACATAAGAAAAAACTCTTGAAAGCAAAACATTCTACCTGGAAACATCATCTAAGCAAAATTAATCCAACTTCTTTTGGAATCTACTTTGGCACTGCGAAAGATAGTGTGAGATCTCCATTACAATTAAAGAAAATCAGATGCCCAGATGGAAAGCATACTGATAATGCTGAGGATACAATTCAAGGAGTGCTAAAATACCATTTTCCTAAAGATGACTCATTGAATGATAATGAAGATCACAAAGAAATCAGAACCTTCAATTCAAAGACTTATCAAGCAATAGACGACCTTCCCTTCTCTATCCCAGAAGTAAAACTATGCAACAAAGTCTCTTAATTCAGGAAAAGCTCCTGGATTGGCCAATCTTCCACAATAAATAGTATTAGAAGTTTTCAATGCAAGTCCTAAACTGCTGACGGAATTATTCAATGAATTACTCAGAAGAGGACTCTTTCCCAAGTGTTGGAAAACTGCAAAACTGGTACTATTTAGAAAAGAAGGCAAAAGTGGGGAACAACCAGATGCTTATTAGCCAATCTACTTACTATTGACATGGAGTAAAGTTTATGACAAACTTACAACAAGATGAGTAACTTACCTCATTTATAAATCAAACTTGATGGTCATATACAGTGGAAGCTGTTAAAAACATCATAAGAAGATACTTGTGCTTAACCCCTTTAGATAGTAAAAGTGCAGTAGTGCACTTAACAGCATCTAGTGGCCCTCTTTGCTGCTACAATAAAAGAAATTTCATTCCCCAGGAAATTTATATCAAATGGTTAATGTTATTCTGTATAATTGCAATATACTACACGAAACTAATTATATGACCATCATGCATCAATAGGAGAAAGGGTGTGTACAAGGGTCAAATTCAGGACCTTTATACTGGAATATAATAATGAATTCAGCCTAACTTTAGACCTAAAAGGAGAAACCCATGTTTAAGTATATGCTGATTATCTCTTAATAATCATAAATGACAAAACTCATGTGGAAGTGCCATCCAGGGCAAATCAAGCGATAAATGCTCTACATAATTGGGTGACAAAACAAATTTTCTGTAGAAAAATTAAGTACAATCTTCATTACAGTAAAGAAAAAAGACACAGCAAATACTGCACCTCCAATTAAAATGAATGGAGCTGCAATTAAGAGAAAACATCAGCTTAAATAACTAGGGATTATTCTCGATGAAAGACTTTCATGGTTACTACATTTTGACTATCTAAAGGAATAATAGCAAATAGCCTTCTCTCAATGTCTAATCTACCAAAATTGGTACTAAAAGAACTATATAAAAGAGGTAATCCAGGATAGTTGTGTAAGCACATACTGCATGGTGAGTCAACTCCACAGTTAAAATGTGTGAAAAAGTTATATCAATTCAAAAAAGAAATGCTACTTGCAATGACCAGAAGTTATAGAACAGTTTTAACTTCAGTGCTTAAAGACATTTCTGATATTCTCCAACAATGCATGATTCGAAAAGGAATTATTTAAAATATTGGAGGAATTAAATTTTCAAAGGAAGAGATGGAATTCCCAAGTTTGATTTGGTACAAACATCCATCAAAAACATCAAACACTCCTCCCTTGCATATATCAAACACAACTCCCAACCTTACAGGGATATGAACTTTTCTCTGATGGTTCCAAAATGGACACAGGAACTCTAGCAGCATTTCGTATTTACAAAAATGGCAATTTTTAAGAAAGACTTTCTTATAAATTGACAGATACAAACTCCATATTTCAAGCAGAAATGCTAACCTTCAAAAAAGGAATGGCATATATAAATTCCAAGAAAATCAAAGCGAAGATTTACATTGATAATCAATCAATACTCAAAGCTTTACAGAAATTTAACATCATGAATGACAGTATTATAAAACTAAGATATGCCATCCACAAATCCAAAACCTCCTTCTTCTGGATATGAGGTCATAGTGAAATAATAAAAAAAGGAAAAACAGATCAGTTGGCAAAAGATGGAATATTAACCACTTGCGCTAAAAAGACGTGCCACGCACGTCGAAATGCTTTTGTCTCAAACCGCAAGTGACGTGAACACCACGTCGATAGGCATTTATCGCAAAAATGAAAATAACATGGTGCATATGTCGCCTAACAACGAGATTGTTTATTTCTTGAGTTACAGCTCTGGATTGCACTCGCAGATGCGGAGCAGCGTAAATGAGACACTTTACCGCTTGTTATATTGTAGCGCACGGCACCGCAGCTGTGAAGTTTAGTCGTAGCACAAGTGGTTAAGCGGTTCTTTTGAAGATGTTAAAATCCCCATAACTTTGGTTGATTACAAATCAAACAGAACCTACAAATCTGACAAGACTGCTGGAACACAGACTCCACTGAAATCAAATACTGACTAATCATGGTGCATTCCCATATTATCTGAATGCCTATAATTTAAAGTATTCAGCTGTCTTGCTCCTGCTGTGACATTCATACAGATATCCATCATATGTTCCTAGTATGTTCCAGCACATCAGAACACAGAAGAAATACTTAACTTTAACAGAAGTATCACTTTATAACTCTCTAATGTTTCTTGATTATTATGCATCCTCTCTGATATGATTATATTTATTTTGTTTTACCATAATTTTCATTTTTTATTTTGTACTTCCATTATTTGTATTCATTTATATGCTTATACTCTTGTACTCTATTGTTTCTCACATGTATTTGTACTTGCTCATTATAATTCTTAGTACTTTTAATAGCACCAATAAAGAAGTCAGTGAGGCTAACACATCTGCCCAGTTAGAATTGCTTATTTGAAATAAATGCGGCCAACATTAATGATATGGTGCCAATAGCTTAATTCCTGTCCAGTGTTTCTTATTTTATCTCGTTCATTTGTGCTTTTGCAGCTGAGGATGATGGTTTGGTAAAACCATCGAAACTAGTCCTGTAAAAATTTGAAAATATAATGCTGATTTTTGTGTTTGACTTCTAAATTAATACTTTTTCGACATGTTACTGTATCTTAATTAATGATATTTATCAAGTATTTAACATTTTTTAGCCCTTTGGGTTTCGGTGATATCTTCTTTTTGAGGCGCGGACTGAATTTTTTATTTCTGTATTCTAAGGAGTAGTTCTCATACCACCTCTGTTCAGAGGTGAAAATATGCTAATTCCCTCCTCTTGTTCTAAGCAATAAAACAGTCACCATATTATGATCTATTGAAACTCACCCAAGAGTTATCCTTTTCTGGGTGAAAATGGCAGTTAAATCGCACATATTTTAGACTTCGGACGTATGAGACAAGTCCAGTTCAACTTTTTTTAAAATTTTACATTTATAATACCATTTAATTACACTTACTGACTTTGGGATAAAATGTTACAGCCAAAACTGTATAAACAGCCAAAACAACTTCTGAATAAACAATTTGAAAGAAGGGGGGAAAATCTAAAATTGCAGTTGTAGGAAAAGGCAAATGCAGCTTTTATTGTTACATAAACCCCAATCCCTCTTCAAATAATGTTCAATTGGATATAAGTCTCATTTATACTTTGAAGAAACTATTTTATCTCTTTCAGCCTGCATGATTATCTACAGTCAGAAAATATTTAAAAAGGCAAAAGTCAATTTTTCAATTTTTGGCACTTCTTTTCCTCAAAACATTGTATGGCTGAATTGCAGACCAAACATTTATGGTACTTTTCTGTTAATGGAATGCCAGTTGCTAATTATGTGTAAAGGTGCTAAATGTGGTAGCTTATTTACATCATGTAAGCAACTGCTATGAAACATGTCATTGGAAATAAGTGGGGGAAAATAACATCAAGTTGTTTATTCATTTTCATTCTAGATTTTCAGTTGCATTTGTTTGAAGTTGCTTTTTCCTTGTTTGCTGATAGTATTTCTTCAGCAAATTTGCATCCAATGCCAAGTCTGAACAAGTCTTCGATTTTTCTAGAGAAAACTGATCACTATCTACATGGGGAATAACATTTTCCTTCTTCCCATGTATACAACAATCTGTTTTTACTTAAAAAACAGCAGAGACTAGCACTAATTCCTTCATGTATAGCCTCGGCATTGTGCATATTAAAATATTATACTCTATGATTTAAGAAAGTAAGTCACTACTCAATCAGAACATGTTTTTGAAAATACTCAGTGTTTATAAATTAATACAAAATTATTGAAAATAAAATGCAATTAATAATCAAAATAAATATTGATAAACAAACTTTGGGATAAAAATTCTATAAAATATAAATCATAAAGATGAATAACTAAAAGTAAAAATACAATTGAAAAAATGAATGATGTAATAATTTGAAATGCTTCCAACTCACTTCTTTCAGAGGGCATATATTTGAAGCCATTCTCCTTGTTTCATCTCGGTATCCTCTAAAAGCATTTCAGTCATTCTTGAATAGATAAAAGCAACCCTTATAATATATTTTAATTAAAAAATGCTTTCATACACACACAAAAAAAAAGGCTGAACATGAATTCCATTATAAATGTATTCAATATATCTAATCAAACAAAAAAATATAAAAAATGCACAATAAAACAAAATATTAAAAAGAACTGTATTAAGTACAATTTAGATTTTTAATAAATATCCCGTCAACTTTTTACAGAGAAGCATATAGAAATTAAGTAGGCTAACTATTTTTGGTACATTTCCGTTTTGCCGGTGCAGGCATTAAGTCGCCAATAATGGTACAATGGATGCCATACAATATCCTCATTTTCAAAACAATTCGCAACTATTCCTTAGTTTTCTTTGAATACTGGCATACAATTACACAGAATTTTTACCAGATAGTTCAATTTTATGCTGTAAGGCCGTTCGCGTTAATTAAGTCAATTAGGATGCAATCACAATCACCTGAAGGCGAAAATATAGAAAAGGCAATGTCAAGGGTTAAATTCATCCATTTTAATGAGAACATACTAGGAAAGTAAAGCACTACAGTTTTACATAATTTCTGAGTAAGCTATTCGTATGAACTGAAATAATTCTTGCATTTAAACTTGTATTCAAATTAAGATTTAACTTGAAATTAATGTAGATAATTACTGAGAGAATTAGATTTTTTGTAGCGTAGTTTATGTGAGATCAGATCACTTGGGGTCATGTGATATGAAAAGGTGAATCAGGATGTTGAACCATGAAAGCATAGTAAATTCTTAAATTAATATCTTTTTACAAATTTATTGTCTTTATTTACTGGCTTTTTACAAAATTTTAAACGATATTAAAATGCGTATGCCTGCAAAATAAAAAATGCCAAGAACTAACATTTGTTAACATTTTTTATGTGTAACACTGTATGTTGCCGCCAATAAAGTCTGCTTGGTGAGATTTGCGCCAGCGAAATGGAAGAGTACCAAATTTTTTTATAAAGATAAGTTGAATTAACATTGATAATATAATAACTTAGAATTGCCACTCAGCTTTTAGGGAAAAAAAATTGGGTCAGTAAACTAGTTTTTATCATTTTAAACCTTTCATAACTCATTGGTTATGAAAGGTTTATGAAAAGTTCAAGATTCTGAAAAGTGTAGAAGTACCTTTTTTATTTAATTTTTGAAATCACTCAATTAAAATACAATGCTGGGGTGGCTTTATACTATCAGGAATGAAACACTTTTAGCAGTTAGAGGTAAGAAGGACAAAAACTTCTGTGCCCCCTAAAGTAGTCAATTTGAAAGTGTTTCAAATTATTACATCATTAACTTTTTTTTCAACTCTAGTTCAGCTTTTAGGCATTCACCTTTACAATTTACATTTTATAGAATTTTAGCCCAAGACTTGCTTACCAACACTTATTTCTAATATGAATAACATTTTATTTGCAATAGCCCTATTTTAATTTATATATACATATATAGTATTTTTTTAAAAATGTCCTGATGAGTAGTGATGTATTTACTTAAATAATTTTGTTTCCATAATCTTAGCTGCTTTAGCGCTAGATCGTTTTGCAAGTCCTTATGACCACTTAAAAAATTTATATATTTTATAATATTCATTATATGAAATAGTTATGCTTTTTATGAAAATTTATGTGTCAATAGAGTTGTCCTACTTAGTTTGATTTTGTGACAAGATCAAACTAATTGTTTGTCTTTGTTTAATAAACTAATGTTTGGTCCAAATGGCATCCCATTAACAGAAAAGAACTGCATTTGTCAAGTTTCATCCAAAATTATATAGATAAAAGGAAACCATGCTATGATTGTGAAACTTAACATTTTAGGAATAAATTTAATGTAGTAATAAACGAATATCTATTAACTAAGAAGAAGAAAAAATTAAAAGCATATTCAACAAAAACATTTTTAACCACTTTGAAAAAAATGAATTTTTATTTAGAAACTTGAATTTATTTTAATTATCTGTTTAACAGCATAGGCGATGATCATTTGAGAATACATTATAAACTATAAGATAATGAAGATAAGTAAAATTATCTGCAATAAGTCATGCTTTTCTCAATCAAGAGACAAATACCACTTGCTAAAATCTGCAAGCAAATTTTCTTCTAATGGAAGAACAAATTTTGAATTGAAAAAGATAAGAAAATGAAAAAAAAAGTATAAATAAATTACAACTTAGTGCGTAAAATATCAAATTAAAAGGTGGCCACAGTAAATGGCTTGAATAACAGTAACCAATAATTTCTATACTGCTGTTAAAAGAATCAACAGTTTTTTAAAGTCTAAATCACAAAATGAATATTAATATATCTTTTTCAATTGTTTCATCACAAAAATGAATACAAATATATTTTTTAATGCTAATCATTTCTCTTTATAAAGAACCAGGCCACTAATTTAACAAATCAAGATAAATTTTTAGCTTTTCCTGATTCTTTTGCTACAAAGCAGGCTCTTTATTTCCAAGAAAACAGAATTTTTCTATTCAAACAAATAAAAGTTTCTGATTGCAAGGTAACACTGATAAAGTATTATGAAGAAAGAACAGTAAGTATAAAGGAAAGAATGCAGTAAAATTGGCTTGCAGAATGGTTAGCTTCAGTTTTGAAAAGTATGTTCCCCATTAAATTTTTATAACTGATGAAACTGGGTTCTATTTTAAAGCAATGCCCAATCATACGATAATGTTCAAAACTTATCCATCTTCTTTGAGAAAGAACCAAAAAGACTGTATTACAGTTTGATTTATTTTTTACTCATTTGGCAACAAATATGAGCAGAAGTACAAAGAAATATCCTTTGCCTATTGTACAGAGGTCAATATCAGAGTGCTCCATGTATAAAGAGTCTTCATGCATCTTACAATAATTCAAGAGGTATTTGAGTGACTGATAACATTTACAAACTTCTTTCTTTAACATACTTCACTAATTCAAAAAAAAAAAAAAAATCACCTTATTTTAAATATTTGCACCCCTCAGCCACCAATATATCTCACAAACATAGAACTTTATTTCTTATCTCCCCATGTAACAGCATTTATACAATCCATTAACCTGAGGACAATGAAAACTTAAAACTATCACTTCATTTCAATTTGTGACATAACTGTTGAAGCAGTATACAAAACAAAAAGCTCAGCAAGAGATTAAACAACATGTCATTCTGCTTAATGTTTTACAACACTAAGTGTGTGAAATGCAATTACTCATTCTTCCTTTTTAATTGCTTAAAAGTATTAATTTTAAAATATAAATTCAATAATACAGTATTTCAAGTAGAAGATTCTGCCGAGATAATTTCTTAAGCAAAAACAGAAACGTAAGAAATTTCAGAAGAAACAAAATATAGTGTTGAGAAAAGGGAAAATGAGATGAATGATGAATCTTCAGGAAACCACCATCAGCCAAAGAATTCACAAAGGCATTAAACATCCTCCAAAGAATTACTGAATACAGAAGAATGTTTGGAGATTTGTATATGATATAGAAAAAGGTGTAGTTTTCTAAAAAGCTACCATTTATGAAACAAATTTTAAAAACTTTTTCTCACAAATCCACCTGACAAAAAATTTTAACATGTAACTAGATGAGTAAAATTATTTCAATAATTAATTTATTTTAATTAGTCGAACTGTACATCTGATGACTGATTTTTGATTTTAGTTATATCATGAATAATGATTAGAAAATTCTTATCTAGTAAAACACTGCCCTCTCTTATGAAGCTTATTATACTATCAAGTGATTGTATGACCATTATGTAACATAGTAACATTAGCAGTTAAATACAACGACAATGCACATTAGCATATAGAATAAAAAATACCATAACATTTCAGTTTTGGTTATAAGAAACAACCATTTATGAGAATCAAAACAAAATTAAAAGTCATGTATAACATCAGTTATACATGACTTTTAAAAAAAGTGTTTACACTATTCACTTTCCTAAGACTGGATATTCCTGATTTTAAACCATTAAAAACTTTACCTGGTTTAAGAATGACTTTTCTCTCCATCTCCAAAAGTTTCTTTATTTTCTTTCTCAAGTATTTGTTGCTGATTTTGTTCTTGGTCAGAATCTGACTATATAAAAAAGGAACAAATTATAAGCATTTATTTAAAAATTGCAATAATATCAATAAAACATAATGGTTAAGTCAACAAATCGTTTGATTAGTTTCATATACATTTATATCATGTTACTTTTATCATAATTTTCCATTATTGCATCACTGAATTTTGATAGCACAAAAAGCAGATGAACTGCATTATACAAGATATTAGTATATGTGTTTTTACAACATAATTCTTTCAGAAAAGTTATATGAATTCTAGAAGCTTGATTGTGCATCAAAGCATGAAACCAAAGGTTTGAGAAAATCCATTTTAATAATAATACTTTAATTAAATAAAATTTGCCTGCTTTGAAAACAAATTAGATTTTTTTAAATATGGATGTTTGTTTAAATTGTGATTTTTAATTGTTTGCTTAAATGAAAAAAATTAAATAGGGATGTTTTATAATACACAAAAATGAAAAAATTATAGTTTTCCTGATTTAAAGCTACAGAACCTCATAATAAAATGGCACACATAATAAAACTTATCAATCTGATTAGTATTATTAATTAGAAAAACAAAACACTACAAAATATGTCTGTTAAATCCATACAACTGTAATGTCAAAAAAGAGAAAACTAATTCTAATCTAAACTGATAAATTTTATAATTTGCATATGAAAAAAGAATCTGAAACGTAAATTCAGCAGTGAACATAACTACTGTTACATATTCACAGCTATAGACAGAATTTTACCAACGTGTTTATTATCTTACTAGGACATGTGTTAAAATCTTGATAAATTTCAGTACTCCTATAAAAATATTCCAGAAACTTAATACCCAGAGATCTAAAGCTGAACAGAAAGTAAGAAATTCCTGTTTGATATTCTTCATGGCCTATATATATGCATATTCATGGACTTCTATTGTAATATGGACATGGAAAATTATAAAAAACAAGTAGATACAATTGATATACTCAAATTCAAACTTTGATATTAAATGTAAGAAACAGTTCCTTACCTTGCAAACAAAAACTAAAATGTATAAATACACAGTAAGGGGGTTTGTTATTACTTTATCTTGTAATACTGCGAAATGCTTCAAAAATTATTGTAGTTAACATACATTCTAAAACACAGTATAATACTACTTCTATATGATTGTTATTAATAGGAAACATCAAAATATGCTTTGATAACCTGTAAAGTTCATTATTTTTTAACCAATACCATTAGTTTCATATAATCAAATTTTAAGTATTACAATTTAATCACTCTACATTAATTTAAATCATTCTATATGCATCAGTATTGGTTTTAGTTTTTTCTAGTCATATGCAAGGCATTTTTTCATTAACACTTACTATGAACTTAATGTCATATTCAAAAATCAGTTCTGCAAGTCCTAATTTTCTACAATTTTCAATGCTTTATTTTTAATAATTTTTTTCCATTCTTATAAAATTTTATATGAAATATATATACATGATTGTGCTAAAAACTGTTGTAAGAATGAACATGTAAGAATGTATAATACTTAAAAATGTACATTGTAATGTATTTAAAAATTTTGTAATACTTAATCTATTCAAGAAACATGATTTAATACTTAAGAATCTATTTAAGGAACATGATGTAATACTTAAAAATCTCTTCAGGAAAGAAAGTAAAATTATTAAAATTCTAAACAGAACACAGGCTTTCAAAACTAAACTATACAGTTTAAATTGTATAAGGGTTAAATCATTCTACATGCATCAATATTGGCACCTGGCACGAAAAAACATCAAATGACACATAAAGTCCACCAGTCCACCTGCCTGAGGGTTAATCTTGTTTTCTAAACAGTGACATAAAAGAGCTCTGTTTGAAATTCACGACTTATTCCAACATTTTATTTAAATTTTAATTGTGTGTATGTAAGCTTAATTGCAATTTACTTCCTTTCATGAATGGAAGATTTTTGCCCTTTTGCACTGATTATCAAGCAAGTGTGTCAACATGAAATGCATTTATTTCCCAGCTAGCAGTGTTTTATTTTCTGATTCACCCACACCTGTCACATACTCATGTCAGAATCTTTGAATATTTTAGGCAAATGATGGCAGTCTACAGGATTTAAGATATATGCAGATTTGACTCTCGTCTCGAAACAAGACAAATATGTTTCCCACATGCCTGGATTTTGATTATATAAACATAAAAAGAAAGGCATATTCTATACTTAGCAGGCTTCCTGATGCCCCTTTAAATGCACATGTGGCATATATTGATGAACGTTATAGGAAGTTCCCCCTTGGCTATTTGCATTGGATATTTCTTCAATTGTGCACATGGTATTTTATGAATGCTATGGAATATTGTTTTTTTTTTTCGGGGGGGGGGGCTATCTGTTAAAGTGTTGAGTGTTTGGTTTGCAGTCTAGTTTCTATTCGAGAATTATACCTTATGTACAAAGCATCAAAAAGTTTTAACACATTAAATTAATCTAAATCAACTGTCGTTTATATGGGAAACGAAACTGTTAAAAGAAATTTCAGGATTATATGGGAAAGAGTTGACTTTCTGGTCAAGGAGACCATTTTTTATGTTGACTGTTTATTTATGTCTCCATGATTGGCAGAATAACTCTTTAAACTTGGAATAAATAGTTGCAGGACTAATGAGCAGAAGGAAAGGAATGATGAAAATTTTTGAGCACCCAAACTGAAAACTGGCAAAATGATGGTTTTGCAGAAAAAGAAACTAAACTGCTTTCAAAGACAGATGGGAAGTGCTTTGTTGAAATGAAAGTTTTAAGAAAGTGTAATGGTAATGCTTCGTTTATTCACACTACCATAAAAATACTTCAAAAAGGCAAATGAGCTACTATGAATGCAAAAATTGTAGCACAGGACTGTGTGTAGATCCCTGCTTTGAAATTTATTACACGAAAAATGCATTTTGAGCAAAATATTTAGCTGCCAAATGTACTGTTGCATTCTACGAGTTCATGGATTTGGAGTAACTCATGAAAACACTTGATGAAGAATCAAAACACAATTTATTTGCCAGTATTACACAGGGCAGGTTCAAAGACACATTTACAGTTATAAAAAAAACTACGATAAACATGCTGAAACAATCAGCAACACAACCTTCAGGCTATAATCATGAAGGCAGCTTCATGGCAAAGCATTAAGTACAGCTCCCGACTCAGTCAATCGCTCTCAAGCTAGTCTCTGAACTCAAGACACTACTACACTATTGAATTCAAGATACTCCCCTCTACTTATGGTATATATATAGCTTTAACCCACCTTCAAGCACATTCTCGGGAAAAGTACTAAGAATGTGTTCTAGAACAGTGATCGTCAACCCTTAGAACTTCACAGACCTATATTTGGGAAACCACTAATATAAATTTTAAAAAGGTAAATACATTTATACAATAATAATCAGCAAACTACACATATTTCATTAACATTGAAAAATTACATGAAAAGTACAAAAATCTTACCTTCTTGTACAGAAAGCTTCACATTTAAATACCACTGAAAAGGAACTTCACAAAAAGCAAGAACAAACCGGCAAACCCAAAACAATATCAATAAACTGACAGTGTTATGCCACCAATTTTTAATTATTGTAAACATAATAATCATCGATACTCAGCAATGGTGCCATCGATCAACAGTTAGACAAAACAAAAACGGAAACTTCTACTGATGCAATTATAAACAAGAATGCAGATGGTTCTCATAAAAATCCATAAAGGTGCCTAATGACACAGAGAAAAACTGTGTTATTAATGACCACAATAACATATGTTTGTAATTCAAAAGGAAAGAATTCCACGTCGCGCTACTGTTCAGCAGCATATCCATGTAACAGCAGCATATCCATGGATGCAAACTCTCACTTTCAAATGTCGCAAGATACACCTTGAAAAATAGCTAAAAATCCAGAAGGAATTTCGCTAAAAGTAGAAGTTAAAATTTTAAAAAAGTATAATCTATATTCCATAATAGATTTTGTTACTCGTCATTTTTTAAACTGAATCTTCATAAAAATATAAAAAATGTCCCAATTTTTCTGCAGACCATCAAAAAGTTTTCACGGACCACAGATTATCGACCGCTGTTCTAGAATGCTCTCACTCCGTCTATGAAACATTATCAATTTTGTCGCCAAATGAGCAATTTCATGCTAAATCTGGAAACCCTGTCTTTCCCTGCAACTTTCTGGAAACCCTAACCCACTTTGCAGGGAAGCTATCTTACCACAGCTGGCATTTCCCAACAGTATTATAATGTCACAAGTCAGCTGTCAAAAGTATAATGCCAAAAGTTGCTGACAGGTAAGTATATACTGAAAAAATGTTAATGTGCAAAATAAAAATATTTAAGCAAAAAAAAAAAAAAAAACTTAAGGGCTAATCTTTGGAATATGGTAACAGGTAGTTTGGCGACATTTTGGTAAGGCGATAAAGGTTACTAGCTAAGACTTTAGCAGTGTACATGGATAAAGTAAAGAGTGTGCGCAATGCCATTTTTGTGCAATTCTGGGATTTTTTTTAAGTGAAAATAGGTTGACGTGTACATGGATACCGTGTATGTGCAATTCTTAAAAATGCCGCAAGCAGTTTGCGATTCTCCACTTTCTCCCAATTTCGCACCTAATCTTCGTCATGATTAAGCCCTTTTGTTCCATAAAAGTTTTAGCATAAGCATAATTCAGCTAGTAGATTGTTGGAAAAAAATGTTGAGTAAAAAAGAAAAAAAAAACATGCCTTTACTTCGTGAAAACAAAATGGCGTCCAAACAAAAACTAGCAGGTTACTGTAGCAGGGTTGGTCGCCAAATTTTCACCAAAAAATTGCCAAGTTACCATAATCCAAAGATTAACCAACTTAAGCATATGAAACATGTAAATAAAAAGCAGATCCTGCATGTATACTTTAGAAGAACATTATTAAACAATGTGTTAATTTTTCCATAATTTCGTGGATTTAGACTTGGTAGCAAACACTCTCTGGCCCTGGAGAGATGCTAGAGAAAGAAAGTCGAAAGTCAACCTCAGTGGTACATGCATGTTTTTGTCTTTCGTCGTAAAAGGGTTAATGTCAGGCTATTTTTTTTTTTTTTTTTTCCAACATACAAATAGCACTGCTTTGCAATGTAAGTTCAAAATCCTCCAGTTTTATAATAAAGTTTCATTCAAACTTAGTCATGTCATCAAGTATATTATGCAGTGTTTGATGGTATATCTATTTGAAAAGAATTTTTCATTCATGTATTAATAAAATTAATTTTCAGCTGTAAATTTGCTTGAAAATTTTTTCAGAAAACCAGACATATGAAAGTTGTGTTACGCCATGCAGATACATCCCTACCAGTAGAAAACTTTTAACATTTACGATTTTAATGTCATAATTAAGAATGAAAACTTTGATTTGAAAAATTTGTGTCAGGACTTAACTTTGTTTATTTCTTGAAAAAAAATCACTTGGATGGACATAACTAATGTACAGAAATTTTATTAAAACTGTGCATTTACCATTGTTTTTACCCAATTTATGATTTTCAATGACATATAATAATATGTTATTAGTAAAATAAGATTATTTGATGTGCAAGATCAAAGGATAATTAGACCCCACATATTTCAAAATGCATAAAATAGAATTAATAAAATAAGTTAGAAAACATGCTAATTAAGTTCTGCACATATGCCAGACTACAAAATAAAAATGACACTTAAAATACATATTGCTGTTCCAAACTAATGAATTAGATAGGCAACTAGTTCTTGTAGTATTGATATCCATTCCTGTAAAAGGGTAGAATTTGTTCTGCCCTTTTACAGGATTACAGGACCTTGGAGACTTCTAGGAGACAGCATTGCAGCACGGCTCATCCTAATATATCCCAGATATGCTCTATTCGAATTAAATCCAGGGAACATGTTGGCTAGCCCAGGCTAAAAATGTTTTCAAATTCCAGATATTTATCCAGACAAACAATTGGGTTGAGCATTGTCATTTCGCGAGTTGAAAATCTGCTTCAATGGCTCCCCAGAAAAATATAGGGTCTGCAAAGAAGTTTTGGAGTTTATGGCGATTTTTGGAGTAAAATTCAACTGGTTTTCTTATAGTGTAAAAGAGAATTTATTTAAACCAAAAGATGCTCCATTATTACTGACAATGTTTCACTATCAGGTAGAATCACGATGCCCTTGGTGAAGGTCTTCTGTGGTTTCTGGTTAAAAACTGCATCAAAGTATTTTTCACAGGCCTCTAATGAAACCAGCCTCATTCCATTGACAGAATTCTGCAGAGACCAGAACAAATGATAGTCTGATGGTGTTATGTCTAGACTATACAGTGTGTGCATCATAATGTTCTAACCAAGATAGCACACTTTTTGACGGTTATCAATTAAGTGCATGGTTGATGTTGTCATAATGGAAGACAACACCCATCCTATTATTCAATTCAGGACATTTTTCTTTCAATTGGCTGGTATAATTCCTCTGGTTGTTCACAGTAGAGTTGAGAATTAATCATCTGACCAACTGGAAGTAGCTCATAGTGGATGATTCCATTCAAGTCCCACCACACACAAAGCAGCACCTTATTCAGCTTCAATACTGGCTTTACGACAGCTTGTGATGGTTCTCCATTCTTTATCCATGATCTTTTATGCTTGTGATTGTCAAATGTGATCCATTTTTCGACCCCCGGTTATGATACATTTGAGAAATAGCTCGAGTTCATTGCATTTCAGCAGTGCATCGCAAATGTTAATTCGCTTTAGCGTGTTTTTCGAACTCAACTCATGAGGAACCCAGACATATAGCTTCTTTTTGTAGACAATTTTGTGTAAATGATCAAAAACAGTTTTGTGGGCAATGACTAGCTCCATATCAGTGTGGACATTACTGATGTGCTTATCTTGCTAGAATTTCACAGCTTTTTCAGTGATTAGATGACCACAGTGTAACTCATCTTTCCCATCAAAATTACCAGAACAAAAGCATGCTAACCATTTTCATGCGCAAGATTTTTATAGGGTACCTTCACCAGACACAGCACAAATTTTTTCACAAGCTTACGCAGTGTTCTTTATTTTGTTGTAATAATACTGCAAAATATAGTGAAATTTTTCCTTACTTGTCTCCATTGTCAAACTCTCACAACTTTCCACCCACCGCCCCATGTTTGACGTTTATATACTCACAGTAATATTTGAAGAATCATCTTTCCAATTAGCACTTAGCAGTGTCACTGCAATCTGTGTTTCCTGAGTTATTTGCCATTGATTCTATCTATCAAGAAAAATGCCACAAACTTTTTCCCCAGACCCAATATAATCACTGGGGTACAGAAATTCATTTGTTTCTTAGGCCTGTTTTCAAACCATTATGATAGATATAAAGCTTTGTGCAGCCATCTAAAAACATGCCACCGTTTATGAGCAAGTCACTGTTATGAAAGCTGGGCATTTCATAAATACTACATTGTTTTGAATGCCTGGATCTCACCACATAAACATAACCTATTACACACAGTTAATCTATTATATAGTCCACTCACTCCTGCAATGTCCAGTACAACTTTCCTAAGAATTGCACAATGATTATTACATGGTACTAATCTGCTACAATTAAATAAAAAAGAAAGAAAAAATAATTTGGGAACCATTTTATTAGATGCCTGCAAAAGAATTCCACTTGGTTAAGGTGTAGGCCATGATGGCTGAATTTCATATTATATCAAACTTCACTAACAAGTACACACTAAAACTTAAAAATATGAAGACAATAATGTTACAGTTTGCAACAAAGTTACAGTTCTAAACAAATAACTATAAAATTCAAATTGCATTTTATTAATAAAATTTATACTGCATAAGTATTATAATTTTTACTTACTCTTCTAAGAGAATTCAACATCCATAAGCAAGGAAACCCTAACATAAAGTGATAAAACCATATGCAGTAATTAGAGTGATAATCCAAAAATTTGCACTGGTGTTGGTTCATTTCAACAGGCAATGCTCACTCCAACACCAAAGTTCATCTTCATTACTACCAGCAATGAGCTAAGAAAATTTTAACAACTTGATCACACTTTACTTCATAAAAACAAGATATCAAATTTTAATTTTTTTTTTTCAAAACAGAAATTACAAATAATTATACATGATCAAGAAAACATTTTAAACTTTAATAAACCTTAAAAAATTTAAACAATATAAAATAATAAAATATCACAGAAATTGCCTAGAATAATGAGTAAAGTTAACTATGCGGCACATTTTATGCCAGAAACTGCCATGCATTATTTTCTTTCATATTAGTTCAGCTAGAGGATTCTAAGGTCAAGTGATGATTTTTCAAAAAAGGTTTTGCATTAAATTCTCTTAATCATATATATGTTACACAGCCTAAAAATATCTTATTGCAGAAATACTGTTAATTGAGTTGAAAGCTTGTTCAGCTGCAATGATAGTAATAGTGATCATGCAGCATCCTTATTAAAGCCATCTACCTCAAAGATATCCCCAAAATCATTTACTTTCATGTAAACGATTTAGTTTCAGATTTAATATTTCCTTTTAGCCATGAGTGTGTTACTTTTTTCTTATTAAATGTCTTTAGATAACTCATAGAAAAAATTGCTCAATTTTTTGCATTCAACTTCTTCACCAACTTAATTTTTTATTTTATAATTTCTTTGTTGTATTAATCCATTTTGTAAAAACATTCCAGAAAAATCAGTAATTTATGAAATTCTTGCCTTTAAACATTAATCCTTCAAATTCCTTCAGTTTTAATGTAGACTTAATTTTAGGTTCATATCAGTTTCGAAAATGAAACCAGACAAGAACTTGATTTTCAGGATCAGAAAGACTAATACAGATCAAAGCACCAATACACATGAAAAAATTGATCGATTAAATTAAACTTTGCTTAAGCTAACTTTTCTTACTGGTCTCTTAAAAAAAATCTTTAACTGTGTGAAACTGGGTGATAGAAATAAAAACCAAAATTAAAAGAATCCACTATCTTTGTAAAGTAAATTCAATTTTAATTCAGACATATTAATTAGAGAACATTGAAAGTAAAGCGAGATAAATTCCTCTCTAGCGCCTTAGAATAAAAATTTATATTTATATTTTCCACAAATAACGAAATTTCAAATTCATTTCAAACATCTAAAACGAGTTTTCTCACATAAAAATCTATGATATTAAAGTCTCTACTGGATTTTCTAAAGACAAAGTCACCAAAACTAACTACATTATAATCCCTAAACTCTAAAAATAGCCTTATACTCATTTCATTGAAATACAAAAGAAAAGATACCAAGGAAAGATTTACCTTAACAAAAATCAACAATTACTAGTTCACAATAAATTAACCTTCAAAGATTCTCTCATTACCAGCACCCACTAATAGGAGATATTTCACAATAAACTCACCAGTACATTGTGTTTAGGAAATTAACTTTAGGCTCAAGTTCTACAAAGCTTCATGTTTCTACGGCTTTCCAGGTCAAACATGGAGAGACGATGGTAAACAACCAATAGCAAAAAAATTACACAATACTAATTTACATTTTAAACACACATTTATCAAAGTTATCTCAATATGCATAAGCTAAGACAGCTGGCATAAGTAGCCAGTCGTTAACAATCACTTAGATGTAAAGTACAGACATTTTTAAATTGAGGGACATACAAATTGCTTTATCAAGTATACATAAAACTAATTTTTCTTCTAATATTTATTAATTTATAGAATCAAATCCATTAATAATATTTTATAATGATTAACACAGTGATACTTTCTCTCGTGATACACTGAAGTTTTTCCTTAATTATTAATTTACAACATAACTCATAACAAATATAAAAAATTCTGTTTCACAAATATAATTTAAGTCACATTTCCAATTAACATTTAAACATTAGACAATCATTAACCAACAAAAATTTTTACAATAATTAGAACAAAAGAGAACAGGAAATCCATGATATCTAATTCACTTCCAGAAAATGACAGATTACAGGCCTAATTGCACAATCTATACTGGTTCATATATACGTTACACATGGAGGAAAACTACAAAAGTGCCGATGAAGCTAGCCCATTCACCGGGATTCGAGTTCCGGTCCAAGCTACTGGTGTTCAGCACCTGTACCGCTCAACTGCTGGAGGTTCTCACAAGTTAAAAAAAAACGTTCATTCTTCTGTTAAAGGAATTGATGTTATTGTTTCCAACAATAAATCTATCCCAAAACATGAAACTTTCTGTTCCTAACAAAAGACTAAATATAAACAAACTTATCTTCTCATTTTAATTATGAAAGGACACAAAACTCATCTTCCCACAGCAACATCCAATTACAGGCCACTTTCATAGTGCTTTTTTATGCTATTTCATTGTTTGATTTAAAATGCAGTTTATTGAAATTATATATTTTTTGTTTGGCTCTAGTGTAGAATTGGGTACTCTTTCAATTTTTAAGTGAAAATAGATCGATGTATACACGGACAAAGTCAGTTCGTAATGCTGAGTTTGTGTAATTCTCTGATTTTTCTTAAGTGAAAATAGGTCGATGTGTACATAGATATCGAGTTTGTGCAATTCTTTTACTTGTTATTTTGGCTTTGCACAGCGCAAAAGCTGTTTTTTTTTTTTTTCTTTTTGGTGCAAAAGCCAAAATAATAAGTCAAAGAAATGCACAAACTTGGTGTCCCTGTACCAACAAAAATCACCAGTTTTTCCAAGGTGTTTAACCAACATATGCTTTCTTGAAATAAATAAAAAAGCAAAGAAAGAATAAGAGGCTTGCAAATTAGAGGCAGATTTAATAAAGGGCCTCTGCTAGCTCCTACAGCTCACCAGTGGCCCAAGACTATCAAAGCTCACCTCCGATGAATTTGTTAAATTTTATAATTTATTTTAAATGAATTTAGCTAAACAGTTAATATTTTACTATAATTCACATTTACTAATTAATAAAGAAGAATTTCCATCTTCCATAGACTTCTTTCAGTGCTATTCCCAGAGGCGTAGCTATAGTTTCAGGCGCCCGGGGACAACTAAAGATTTTGCGCCCCTTTCCCTTCGCCAAGAAGGGAAAACATTTCATTCTAAAATTTCGTTACATCAATTTGGCGCCCTCTGAATGCTGCGCCCGGGGACAGATGTCCCCTCTTGCCCCACCCTAGCTACACCACTGGCTATTCCTCAGAAAGCAGTGATTCAAGAGATGGAACAATCAAAGTTTGAAAACAAATTAACACAAATCAGTAAGAAATAAGAACTGAGAAGAGAAAAGTTAACTACACAATTCAGCATTTGGTACTTCTTTTATCTCCAAATGACTTACATTTTACATGTATGTGAAGTAGAAAACTGAAAAAGGATATTTTAAGATCGGGAAAAGACATATTTCAACTTAAAAAAGAAGACCGATCTCCCTTTAGATCAGGGCTTAATTTCCAAAATCGGGAATTTCGGAACCTTATGGTAGGCAGTCAGAAAAGAAAAGAAAAAAAAAAATAAAAAAGGTACACAAAAAAATTCTGAAAGGTTTCAGATTTTAAATTACATCGAAAGGGGCATTTTTTCAATGTTTCGTGTGTTACCTTTATTTATTAAACATCATGTTCTTTGCACTTAAACTATAAAATTCAGTCCAACAGCAGTATCACAAAATAATTTTCAAATGAGCATATCCCTTTAGAATTCCTGATACACAGTTCTGTGTGCTGGAGATAAAAAGGTTCCAGTTTTAAATCATGAACAATAACAAAAGAATCTGTTTCTTACGACTTTTAAATAATTGTAATAACATTATTTTCATAAATTAAACCACCACATACAAAAAATAATGCTTATTTTTATTGAGCAGCAAGTCATTTATTTTTAATGTCAAATGCAATTAGTGAAGAGTAACATTTCGGGAATGGCCATTTTAGATACATACTTAAGAGGGCGGGGAGAAGAATTAACTACTTAATTAGTGTAATGTAAATTTTTTTCCATTTTGCAATTTAATCACACGAAGAAAAAATTACTTTTACTAAACTATACTATAATTTTGTTTAAAACTCTTATGTTTAAAACTTACTTAATAATCAATTAGGATGCTAAGTACTTGTATCTCTTTCTATCTTTCTGAGTTAAGCAAAATTTAGCAGATTTTCATACAAAGTAACTTCTCGGCAACAGGACTCGCTACTCGGAATTTTCTGTTATAATGTGAATGTATAACATGAAGATGAGTCAATTTCTGGTAAAGAAAATTCCCTGCAGACAACCCTTCTGCTTAAGAAAATTCCCTGCAGACAACCCTTCTGCTTGGTTTATAATTTTGCATGTGCCCTGCAATTAATCAAAATTCAGCCCAATCAAAAATATGACAAATTAAAATTCCGTTTTAGATTAAATATAAAGTCCGATTCTCATTTGTCTGCTCAATTATTATCGAATTTCTTTACCATCATAGCTCAAACAGCCCAGAACTTTTGCCGATTTTTCTGGCACTTATTTATTTATGGTACTTTTGCAGATGTAACATTTCTTTCATCGTAAGTTGTTTAAGTTGCTTCATTTTTTGTGCTAATACTTTCTCTTTAATTCTCTCTTCTATAAACAGACAAAATTTCTTGTTCAGTTACAAAGTTCCACTGTTCAAATCCTGTAATTGCTGTGTCGAGAATAGCGACTAACTTGTCAATCGAAATTTTTTCATTTTCAATAACAATAACATTTCGTTTTCATTCTCTGTCACTTTCTTCACTATCGGAAACGCGCATGTGTAAACGCTTTACTGGCTTTACGCACATGCATAAAGTTTGTAGCTTTAAGGTCTGGATTATAGATCATTCCGGATAATGGACATCCGGATTATGGACTTTGTACTGTATATGACCCAGTAATAGGCAGTGAAGAAGTAACCTGCAACATAAGTTATAAGCTTTGCAGAACTGATAACTTGACACATTTCAAGCACTACAGTTTGCTAATTGATTGGTATTAAATGAAGTTTGGTATTAAAATGGAAGTATGTATAAGGAACATTTCCATAATTTTTACTTTTGAACATGGGATTTTAATATTGCTGATTTCAAAATAAAATATATCAAACTAATAAAATAATAAAAACACTATTATTAAATGCCCTATTAACAATATTAAAATGCTTTCAAAATAAAAAATTCTTAGAACTAACATTTGTTAAAAATTTTTATGTGTATACTGTGCGTTGTTGCTAATAAAGTTTGCTTGGTGAGATTTGCGCCGGCGAAACGGAAAAGTACCAATGCACTATTTCATAAATAAACACTTTCCTGAATTTTTGTCAGTTTATATTTCAAGGAAGAAAATATAAAAGCAGAAAATTCATAAATTATATAACAGATCTTTAAGAACTGCTTTGATATGTAACTAATTGCTTTGCTACTGTTAACAAACAGTGTGTCTTACCATTATAATCACATTGTAAGAATTTTAAAAGCAAACTTTTTCAACAATCCTTTCTATAACTGCTACACAGCTAGGACGCAAGCAGCATGAACTGTTTATCATGTTAACGTACAGCAACTTAAAGAAAAAAAAGTGTACACATAGGATATTTAACACAACAAACTTTCAACTTTGTCATATTACACATTTTTGTGCTGTGCAACACATTTCTGCAATATACAAAAAAATCTGCAAACAAATAAAATCTGTTGCTATTTGAAATATTGTATTCATAGAAAGTTCAAAGAAAAACGTTTAAATGGATAATACTCTGGACATCTAAAATCCTTAATATCAAGAGAAACCTCAGAGGCATTTCTGCACGTGCACCCAATTGTTAATGCTAAACAACAATTAGTTAAGAGAAAAATTACTGAAAACGATCTTTAAGATATAATTTAATAGTATAGATTATAAACTTGAACAAACTAAAACGTTGACATAGAAGGCTTAGTGAAAAAGAAAAGGTAGTATAAGAGAAAACTAATATTAATTGCTTCAAAAACGGAGGCAAAATCGCCACATAGTACCAAAGACAAACAAAAGAAGGACGTGCAAGCCATTGAAGCTGGAACAAACTTTACTCTCGCAGTGATATACGAATAAGCACCGCGCCTCTTTAAATATTGAGATGAGTTGAGTGAAACTATCACTGAGTTTGAATGAGATATTTTCAAGAAAAGATAAGGAAAATCTAAAGGCCGTTTACGCTAGCGGAACGTTGAAACCAAAAGACGCATGTGAACTTATAGCTGCTTCCCTTGACCGATTTATAATGAAACTGTTTTCATGCCTTGAGGAAATATTTCACTGTTGAAGTTTTGAATAACATTATCGCTTGAGCTGTTGCTTCATGCAATAAAGACTCACATACTCAAAAGGGAAGAGTACAATTTTTCCCTTTAGTTCGCGAGCATTTCTTGGGCGCAAAGTTCCGTTAGAAATGAACCTTAACAGTTTAAAGAATAAAGTGCAAATGTTAAGCAATTTTTATTATTTACTCAAAAAAGAAAATAAAATTCCATTCTGCCAGTATGCGTCAACATTTTGTAAGCAAATGGGAACCTCACTGCTATCCAATGGAAATGTTCTAAGGCTAGTTGCTTAATAGCCGTTGTTGTAGCTTACCTCATTAGTCTGACAATAATATCAGAGCAGGTCCCCGAATTTACCGTACCGATGTGCGCAGGATTACGTCTGCCTTTGGCATGAGCCTTCGACACCTTCTACGTGACAATACGTCTTTGATCAATTCCCAGCCAATTTTAGATAAGAATTCTCCTGAGAGACTAAGGTTCTTCCCCTTTTTTCTTCTACCACCAAACCACTCAAAAGGACTTTCGATTGACGGTGTATTTTAAGTACACCCATGTCGCAAGTCACATTAAATTTGCAGTCATCCAAACGTTCTTCGCGAATCAAACCCTGAACCAAAGATAAGCAGCCAGCGTCGTAACGGCTGCTCAGTTGATTAAGGCTAAGCATGAGAGCTCTTCTTAAAAAAGGAACACCTTCATGATGGAGGATTTCTTAAGGAAACTGACTCTTATTTATCTTACAGATGAGGAAATCCCGAAAACACAGTGTAACTTATCCCATTGCAAGGATCTGAGCCCCGGGTTTTTTTCCCTCCCTTCTTCGTCAGTGCTTATGATAGACAACACTAATGGTGCTTATGCGCTATCTCTATGATAGTATTGCACTAAGAGTCCACTAATTAATACTGATAATTAATACTATAATTAATAATTAATACTGTCCACTAAATATTAATACTGATCTATAATCATTTCATTTATTTTCCAACCATGGTCTTCCTTAAATTCATGTGTATACAGATTGCAGATTAGAAACACATGCATTCGTTTTACTTCTTTTCATATCGAAATATCAGTACATTTTCCAAGAGAAGGAAAAAACTATATGAAAACTTTGGCTACGAAATATTTCCTTTACACGTTCTTAAAAATACCTTATTCCTTTCTACAAATAGCGTTTAAACGTTTTAATATATACTGTGTAAAATATAACTTTCTTTTATATATGTTTATCATATTTTTTCGTTTCTTAATTTTTTAGAGTGTTCTACAAGGAAGAAAACACCAGCTCAGTTAAAAAAAATGCAATTTTTAATTTATGCCCATGAAATAGTCTAAAAAGAATTACACTTTTATGTGAAAATAATATTCGTAATACTTACTTGCCGGTCAATGAGCAATTTCCTATAAGACAGCAAAGAGTTATAGTTCTCTTTAATTTTATTCTATGCAGTGGAATGGGAGGACTGCATGAGGTTTCTATGGTTTTCACATGTGTAACTTTAATATGGATTACTTTCAGTTATAGTAGTTCTATATGAATGCATTACTTTTGCAAAGCAGATAGCCTTTGAGAGCGTTGTCATAACAAAATAATCTAATTCACTAAATTTGAAATCACATTCCGTTGCCAGAGAGAAGCTGTATTAGTTTCAAAATGAAGAACTTATTAAACCTATCTGGGCAGTACTATCACATTTTCAGTTAATCGAAAAGTCATTCTACAATGGTGACGTATTTTTTGTTAAAACTCTACATTTTAAGAAATACTCATATTTGGCTAAGCTCCCCCCCCTTGAAAACTGTAGTGTGTTGAATTGTGCTAATATTGCTTTCAAACATTAAATAAATGAACTATTTGTTTACCAATATCGCAACACTGATCTAACCCAATGGTTCTGGAACTTTTTCATTCTATCCTTCGTCCCTTTTTTCTTATGCCAGAATGCCTTTCCTCATTTTCTAAGATTTTTTTTCTTCAAGGTGCATTCCAGATAATAATTAAAATTAAAAAAATATTTTACTTTACTGTGCTATAGCATTACGTACAGATTTACTTCGATAAAAAAAATAACTAATTACTGGATTTTTTTAATAAAATTTTAAGTGAACATCATTAAAATATATTTCTGAATCGAATCTATAGATATTGTACTCAGCTGATAACTATTAAAAAGAATTACAGTGTACTCTTGATTATCCGGCCTAACGCTGGGGAAGCAAGTCATGGATAATTGAAAAAAATGATAATCCAAACTATCAATTTTCATGCATATTGTGTGTGCCTATTTCCTAAAAAAATCAATAATTTTACTTCGTTTTTGGAAGCAGTTTAAATATTTTTAATTTCACTGCATATTTTTCGAAGTGTTATTTTATCACTGCATTCGAATCCTCTTTGGTTGACGAAGTCCCACAGAGCTTCAATAGAAGTCAATACTGTCTAGGAACTAATGCATCTCGGGACATTGCTGTCCCGGATCTCAGCACGTTCTTTGCTTGCATTTTCAGTATCACTCTTTGCTTCTTCTATCTTTACGCATTTTGAAATTATATCCGCATCACTCAAGGGTTAAAAACCTGGCTCAATTGAATCGCCATCAAACCATTCTTCGTTGTTTGCCCCAATAGACACCTTTGTAGAATTTTACCACCACTCCTCACGGATAATCCTCAAACCTGGTAATCCGCATCTAGATAATCGAAAGTATAAAAGTATAGGGTTTTCATTTATGTAGTAAAAGTTATCAGAGCTGGGAGGAACGAGCTAACTGTCAGGTAAACTCATTTTGTATTGCTTATTTTATGATTAAAGATACTGACGCAATATTTTTATAGCTCCTGTAAAAGGACGCCAGGTCTTTGAAAGTTCTAATAAACTGAATTCGAACTTTGAGCATTACATTTGGAGATTTCAATTTTTATTCTTGAAATATTCGGCGGAAGAACAATTTTATTTTCTAAGCAAAAGTTAATTATTACTTATTCTTGAAACATATATTTTGTATATTTGTTGAAATATAAGAAAATAAGGAAAGAAAAATAGATAAATTAAAAAAAAAAAACTGTCTTGCGAACTTCCATTACAAAACTATTTAAAGAAACTGAAAGTGAATTAGGTTGTGTTAATCAGCTGGAAGTATTGTTGGAACAGTTCAGTATTAAAACCAAGACACTTTCTAATACCGATGCCGGAACAGTCATTTTCAAGTGCAGACGAATTTAAACATGAATGCCAAAATTATAGAACAATATCGCGAGAAGATAACATTATGGAAATTTAATCTTAAGAAACGTATTAAAAGAATCATGACTTGAACACTAATATTTCAACAGTTTCGGTTCGGGATTTAGTGACTTACCGAGCACTGAGCAAAATGCAAAAGATACACCGAATGCTAATTTAGAACAGCTTTTAGTTCTCAATCCATAATAACGAAGCAATGAACAAGGTAGAGAAATTTAATTACTTTAAAGCATATTTAAGGACAACAGCTGCCAGTTACGTTCAAGGATTTCCAGTAAAGCCAAAACATTACGATCCAGCGTTTCAAATCTTATATGATCGTTTTCGAAGAAAGAACGTTCTTATTAATGTTCCTCCGTATAATTTGCTGTACATAGACTGATTAAAAATGAGAATCATATAAAACGATTTCGCAATTTCTGTGATTAAATATAAATGCAGATAATATGCGTCGAAGCTATGATTGCTGAATCGGATTCTTATGCGCTTTGATGAAGTTTCTGAAAAACATAATCGTTATAGAATAAAATTAAGTAATGCACTTTGGTAGGCAAAACATGAGAAGCAAATTCATTTTTCTGCATACAACCATGTAATTACTGAAAAGGGCTTCTTGCGATCAGTGCAATGAAAAGCCCACTCAGTAGAAAAGTGATGTACAGTCTGTCTATCATAAGAAAAACTCTCGCCAGTTAGTCTGCAGCTATCTGTTGCCGCAGAAACGAGTCATGATCCATTTTCCGTAGGGGTGTCTTGAAGACGAATGATAAACTCTTTTCCCCTCAGAAGACAGTCTCTAAAAACAAAATAACAATAAAGCAGCCTTTGGCTCTCCCCTATATGAAATATACTATCCCTGCTGCTATAACGACCGCACTGTGGCGGGACGGTTCTTCTCGTAGACAGACAGTATATGCAAATATCAGCATCATGAAGTCAGAGGATACGACAGAGCACGCAAAACGCGAGGAGTCAAAGTGCGCAGTGCAAAGCAACTTAAAAAGAAGAAGGGAAGGCGCATTTCCAAGCATTCTTCTGCAAGCAAAAGTGAGATTGTACGTGTAGCACGGCTACAAGAAAACATCAGGTGTCTTTACATGCGGTAGAAAGACAGGGTAGCTTGGTGAGGGGCGTAGTTTAACATCTGTCACCCAAGTGTTTGGAATTGATAAAAGTGTTGATTCACTAGCTTGAAAATCCTTCCAGATGACAAGCACTGTAAGAAAGATTGATAGTGATCGGCGAAGGGAAACAACGATGCCTGATAATCGCTATTTCACTCTGCAGGCGAAAAAACACAGTTGACAGGCCTGATCTAGTGGCATATACGTCATTCCTTCAAGTAGTTGCCTGGACTATCGATAAAAATGTTAATTATTTTCTTCTGGCACATTCGTGCTTGTCAAAGTAAATAAAAAATACCACATTATGGACAAACAAAGTTCTTGCCTCAGCTCACAAATATTTAATAAATAAAAAAGAATTTAACTTTTCTATCATACACAGAAAACGGATCAAG